TTGTGGCAAAATATTTTCTTGTTACATTTTTGTCACCTAAAAAGTAATGATAAATTTACTATAGAAGAGCAAATGAAGTCCTGCTTCACTTATATAAAAACAATTGATCATGTATGGTATAAGATGTATTTAGGGATAGGGAGAAAGCTGCAGGTTTGAGTTGCAACCGCTGTCTGTTATGTGTGGCACATATGACATTAGGTAAAACACTTGAACTTACGCACTTGTCCAATTCGGACTTCCCAGAGAATCCTACCACTATTTAGACTGATCTCTTCGCCTTGTTCTGGCTAACAAGAAGCATTCCTTCTCATGGAAGGACAACATGTTCTTATGGCTTTTCGAACATTGTCTTTTGAGATCACTAATTTTTGATACCCTAACATAAGTTATTGCGAAACCAAATAGGAAGCATGGTTGCATCCCAGATCTTAGTGCTGATATGTGACAGTGAAGAAAAGCATACCTTATGGTTGGTAGTCACATAATTACCATGCGAGTAGGCATTGTTACTGTTGCAGTGGCAGTATGCTGCCACAAGTGACTCAAATTGGCAATTATAAGATTAGCGGCAATGAAATCACCTTATTTAGTTTTATGCGTGCAGTCTGCCCACAGGTACAAATAACAAAACGAGCCTTATTTATTTTCTCATGATCTAAAGTTAGAAAAGCACTTATTAAGAAACCAAATGGCATCTTTGTTTCATATTCTGCTTTCGACTGTGCATCCCCTTGACCACAAATGTGGTATAGTGTTTTAAGATATTGACATCATAAACTGTAAGCTAAGTACTAGATCATATCCAATATTATTATTATTATTATTATTTTTTGGGGTCATTTCTTATGGCACCTTGGCTTTTCTTTTTCTAATTTCTAGGAGCTTATGTTTTTGGTATATTTGAATTATCAGGTGAGAGGTTCTCAGAGATTGTTGGAAGTCCATATTATATGGCTCCAGAGGTGCTCAAGCGTAACTATGGGCCAGAAATAGATATATGGAGCGCAGGAGTAATTCTCTATATCTTATTGTGTGGTGTTCCCCCATTTTGGGCTGGTAATTACATTCCAAATCGTTAAAATTTTAGCTTGACCTTTCTGCAAGCTCTTCTCTCTGTGTAAGGACATTCATTTCAGTTCTTCTGAATCAATGCTTGCATGCTTATGTCACAGTTCCAGTATGGCTCTGGATCTATGTAGCACTATATGGGAATGCATATTGTATTCTAAATGGTTCATATGTAAATTACTCATCTAATATTATAGCAGGGTGTTTCTGGGGTCTGCAGTTGCATTATTCCCTCAGGTTCCAAGTAAACCATAGACCTAAACTTGTAGTTAATTCTAATGTGCAGAATCTGAGCAAGGCGTTGCACAGGCCATTCTTCGGGGGCTCATAGACTTTAAACGGGAGCCTTGGCCCAGTATTTCAGAGAGTGCTAAAAGTCTTGTTAGACAAATGTTAGAACCAGACCCTAAGCTTCGGTTAACTGCTAAGCAGGTGCTTGGTATGTTTCTTCTCTCTTGCTAATTATATCTTAATCTAAAATTAACAGCAAAGTTACCCGTAAGACCTGCTTCCCTTTGCTGAGTTGTGTTGCTTTGCAGTTATGAGGTGGTAACTGATATATCTATGGATGCCTTCACTTGTTTTCTCATCTAGGCTGGAGTTTCCATTTATGTCCGTTGGTTGACTTTTTGGAATTTTATATCATGATTGAACTTTTAAGCTCAGTACAAGTAATGACAGTACCAGAATAGAGACAAATTTGTGTTTCTTAATCATTAAAATATTAGGTTCCTTTGCTTGAATATTATTCATATTCTTGTCAAGCTCAAACTTTTATCTAACCCTTGAGGGGAGAAGAAAGTAAATGTTTGCAGGGGACATAAAGAATGACATGAGATGTGGAGCAAGAAATTATTAGGGATAATGAAACTTTTGGTTTCTCAAGGTTGCCTCAGCTATTGTTTTGGTCCCTGAAGTTTAATTTTTATCAATCAAGTCCCCAGAGTTTTTATAACCATGCAACAATTAATCCTTGACCCAGGAGATGTAACCTTCTAACTCAAGAATGACAACCTTTTCTTAAATTGCAGAAAAAATTGCTAGTTGGATGATATGACAAAAGAATATGGAATTGTATATGAAACTTTAGGGACTTGATTAATAAAAGTTAAACTTTAGGGACCAAATCTATAACTGAGGCAAACTTGAAGCCTTGAAATAGTGATGTGAGAATCTCACAGATGATAATTAATTGCTATGCGAATGAGTTCAGCAGTTACTGGGAGAACCATATTAATTGCTATACGAAGATTTTTGGTTCTTGCATTGATGTCGCCCTGCTACAAGATTTGTACTGGGTTGGGCAATGGGCATGTAGAGTCGTAACTATTGACTGTCTCCTAAACTCTGAAATGATGTTCAATCTAGTACTTTTCTGTTGAGTTCTATAGCAAGTCTTAGCCTGTTGCCCAATAAAATGCATGTTTAAGTGTATTTTTCTTTTCCATGTTTGTAGAGCATCCTTGGCTCCAAAATGCTAAGAAGGCTCCTAATGTTCCTCTGGGTGATGTTGTGAAGTCAAGGCTGAAGCAGTTTTCAATGATGAACAGATTCAAACGAAAAGCACTTAGGGTTGGTTATCTGCGTCTGCTGATATTTTTAGCCTGTAGTTTTAATGTAATATCCCCTGTAAGTTGGATCTGAGCTACTATATTTTAAACAGGTCATTGCTGAATTCTTATCCACTGAAGAAGTTGAAGACATCAAGGAAATGTTCAAAAAGATGGACAGTGATAATGACGGTATTGTTTCCATTGACGAACTAAAGGCTGGACTCCTCAACTTTGGATCCCAACTTGCTGACTCTGAAATTCAGATGCTTATTGAAGCTGTATGATCAACTTTTCTTTTTTCACTCCAATACTTGCATAAATTATGAAGTTTCCACATGTAACATCAATTTCACTAGTTATTGTCTTAGGACTTAGGAAGTAGGAACTGTTAAGAATTGTTAATACACTAAACATGGAAATGAGAGTCGAGCTGCATGAGATTCACTATATAGTATTTTTGTCATATATAATATTTTCTAAAAATCATATCAATCTGGAAACTCGTTGTTCAGGGATATATCTTTATTAAATGAGGCCTTCTTTTGTAGCCACTGCAGAACTGCATTTTTTTCAATCTTTTTCACCTTTGGTATGTTTATTTTGACTGCATCATTCTATGCCAATGGAGATCTGCTCTTCCTGTAGAAATGACATTCTCATTGAGAAGATACAGTTTGGACATTTTAGGACTCAAGTGTCCGGTAGAAGATATGACATTGTAGATTTTGCCTTTCATAAGGCAAGTTAAATATTTCAAGCATGCTAAGATATGATTGTATGAATATTCAAGCTGTACAGCATTGTTGTTTAGTCTGTTATAGCAATGTTGATCGACAACAGGTAGATACTAATCTGAAGGGAAGACTAGACTACGGAGAATTTGTTGCTGTTTCCCTTCATTTAAAGCGGATGGCTAATGATGAGCATCTTCACAAGGCCTTCTCCTATTTCGACAAGGATGGGAATGGGTATATTGAACCAGATGAGCTTAGGAATGCTTTGATGGAAGATGGCGAAAATGATTGCACAGACGTAGCAAACGACATTTTCCAAGAAGTAGACACAGACAAGGTGGATATTTGGTAGTTTTTCTTTTATTTTAACCTTGCTAATATAATCCTACGCGCTGACATTCCTGTTCAATCACAGGATGGACGTATCAGCTATGATGAATTTGTGGCCATGATGAAAACTGGAACAGATTGGAGAAAAGCATCTCGGCATTACTCAAGAGGAAGATTCAACAGCCTGAGCTTGAAACTGATGAAGGATGGTTCTCTAAACTTGGGGCCCGAATAATAGTCCTAATGGCCATTTTCAACCTGTCATTTGAAATAGTGTAGTGTTCCTTCTACCTTCTGGGCTTGCCTTTGTGATGATTATTCAGATCCGTTGTTAGATGGAGGTCTCTCTGCATGGTCGCATGCGAGTCGCAATAAGGAATGCATGCACTTTGTTCCTTCTGAAAAACAGGTGCCTTGGAGCCAGCCATTGGTATGACATGGATGCTTCCTCACTTCTTAACCACTCCCAACGATGTTAAATCAGACTGTTTAATAGCAGTCAGATTATGAAGAAATGCCAATGTCTTGTAGTTTTGCATTTGCTGGAGTCTGGAGTCTGGACCTCTCTAATTTGGGCATTCACCCTCCCGGCTAGGACATAGTTGTTTCCTCCATGGCATCCGAAAGCTGCTTATAATGGGGAGTACTTTTGACAGAATTTGGTGCCGATTGTATCACGAGCCTGTAAGATGCATCTTTGTAATCAGGAAGACCAATCCTGCTTGTCAATTGTCAATATATGGCGTGTCATGTATTGTTGGATTTTCATGATTGTTTTTTGAGAGCTATTAGCAAAGGTAGAGCCGGTTCACTTTTATCTTCTCTATACTAAGTGAGTTCATATTTCCCAACATGTTTTTGGGGAAATGACATTTATAAACCATCTAAAAACGTTAATGATAGTTAAAGATCTTGAAATTCTAGAACTTCAATGATGGTTCGTAGCTCTTGGTTGAAATTAAAATTTCTCTAAATTATTTTTTTTAACACTCGTTTCTTTTAGGTGTTTGGAATATGACGAAAAAAATAAATTATGAAAATCTAGAAGATGAGTATGGACAATATAGAGGAAGAAGATTAAAAAAAATAACTCAGAATGTTAATTAGTGTCAAGGATTACTTTAAAAAAAAAATCACCCTATCCAGGGATATAAAAATATAGATCTAGCTATTCAATTTCATATTGGGCCAATCTTTGCCAAACCATTTAGCCAAGATCGCCGAACACCTCCAGTCTTTCACCACCCCCATCCAAAAAACAAATGTCAACAATGAACTTAACCCATTTAAATTTAGTTGTCAACTACAACTATTAAAACCAACACGCTGCCCAGGTAAATTGACCAATATCAACGATGAATAATACACATCATTACTAGAAGCTATAGCCAAGCCTCTCCAGTCTACAAGTACAGATGTAATTCTATAAATTATGTGCGTTCATGGTTATCACAGTATAAAGAACAATTTGTTCTTCCACCCTTCTACTCCATTAGTACAATAGTCAAATTGAGGTTAAACTTGTCAATTCCTCTTTACAGCACAGATAACAACTTGTTCTGGTCAATGGGGGGACCGACGCTTCACCCATAGCTCATCCGAGAATCAAAGGACTTGGACGATGTCTGACGCCTTGGAATACCAATTTCACATGCATTCACTTTGGAAGCAAAACGGAGAGAACAAAGGGACTCCCCAGCCGAAGAAGGGTCGGGCGAAACATTGACAAACATCAACGTTTTGGAATCTCCACCAAGACATGGCTGCCATGAATGGAAACAAAACAATGTTCAATACAAGGATGGAGGGTATCATCACTACAAGAAACAAGAAATTCAGGCAGAGACCTTGTGGGATAAGTGATACGTATCGCAGGAAAACTCCTTATTGTTGGATAAAATATTGATTGATATCATTAATCTCACTTAATTTTTTCCTCCTTAGCTCTAGATTAAACGTGAGTAGTTGAGAGAGAATAGCACGTTGCGGGCTTGAGGCAAAGGTCCATACGAAGAGTAATACGAATAGATCATTAGCAATATTATCGTGAAACATACCTGGAGAAGATACGTCAGTTTAGAATTCCTAAAAGGAACATGCTCATCTTTCTTGGCCAAAGCAAACATGACATCACTCAAAGACGATAAACTTTTGTTGATAGCCTAGCAATAACGCAAACATATCATCACCGATTCATTTATTTAAGAAAATAGAGTAATTCATGATGGTCTGAAGTTCATGTTATGCAAAGCAATGCACACCTGAGTTTCCTTTAGTCGGTCCCCAGTTGCCCCACTTTTCGATAGTCTTTCGCTTCCAGCTAGATCAATCAGATTCAAGACGCCGTGCACTTGTTGTTCAGTATTCTACATCGTAAAGGACATTAGTGCATCCAGCATCTAAATAAGAGAGAGAGCAATACTATTTAAATCATTGTGCAAAGCATATCACAACAGTACATACCTCATTAACTCCAGTTATACGCAAAGTGAAAACAAAATGGCTTCTTGATGATTGTTCATTCATCTGTGTTCTTCCTACCGACCTGGTACAACAAAAGGAATCCCATTTGATTATTACAGAGACCAAGAATAAATGGCTATACATTAAATATGAAAGATTAAGTTTAACTAAATCAAATTTTTTTTAAAGAAAATGAAACTTTTTAGTATCAAGAGACTTGCTGGTTAAATCCGGACGAGTACAATAAATAATTATGATTTTCATCCAAATTCCAAGTGGGAAAAAAAGCAATTCTTTTGTTCATTAGCTAGAAAGTTTATTCAATCACAACTTCAACATGCACATAGAAAGCACCTTAGGCATCCCACATTATAAACTAGTACCTGCAACTTGCAGCCTGTTGCAGGAGTGAGGAAATCTCCTTCACGCTACAAACGTCTACAATAGTGAGGTCGGAAACTTCTGTGTTTCCATGCGCGTCATGTTTAATAGTGTACTGCTTCCCAGGAACACCATTTTCTGTTCGAGTTAGATCGGTTCCGCTTGGCCGATTCGACGCCAACAAATCTCGAATCGTCTCATTATATATTTCAAGTACTGAAGCCTGGAATAATTAGCAAACTACGAATTTTAGTTGATGGATGTAAGTATAACCCCACATGAAAATCAGAATAAAATATTTTAACCTGCATTTTGTATGACCAACCCTGGTCCTTAAGGGCTTGACTAGTTTGGAAGATCTGTTCTAGAGAACGTGGGATCAGTCCTTTCAGATCTGGAGCATTGGGCCTACCCATCATTGTGTATGTTTTGCCTGAACCTGTCTGACCATAAGCAAATATGCAAACCTGACAGGGCAAGCCAAATTCCCTCTGTCAAAGCATATCTAGTGTACATAAATACGTAACATTAAAAAGCAAGAGAAGATAAAGAAATGCCCCAGTGAAGAAGGTAAGCTAGCAATAGCATCTAATAACGCAATCCTTTCCCTTCCTATCCGACTTGGGAAAGTTTAGTATGCCAAAAACCAAGAATACAGCTAGATTGCGTGAAGTAATCCATGCGAGAACACCAAGAGGGTCGAAGCGACGAGTAAGATCTTGTTCAGAAAGATGAGCTAAGGGATAAGACAATAGTAGTTTTATTCAAAACAAATGGTGCCAAATTCTGAAGAGTAATAACAATTGCAGCTTTACAAATACATTTGTCTTCACATGTCTCTGCATGGATTACTCACGAAATCTAGCTATAGATGAATAGACTCAAAAGTTCTATTTAAATATGTTAGTTCTGCTTGAAAAATAATTAACAATAGACAATTTAACATCACTTAAATCACCTTGTACCCATCAAGCGCACTTTGTACCAACTGCGATATCTCAATGAAAACGTCTTGCTGAGAAGCGTCATGATTGAAGACCTTATCAAATGTAAAAGGGTACTTTTGCCCTGATGTATATCAAAGGATGAAATTATGCTTAACTTCCCGTGTCGTATTTCAGAAGACATAAAACTCATGAAACTCTCAAGAGAAAGCAGTAACAGAAGAAAAGCACAAATGTATGCACTTTTACCGTTTTGGACCAATTCAATGCCTCGGCCAAGAGCTTCTGTTGATGTAGGGTAGGAAACAAGCATGTTTGTTCCGACACCATCTTCTGGTAGCAAAGGTCGAACTCGACAAAACACACGAATGTTCCCTTTTAGCTCCTGATAACAAGTAAGTGGGAGGGACTTAATTATTATTGATGTATTAGAAAGGAACTTTCTGCATTACAGAGTAAAGGAGTATTACAAGGATAGTGTTGTGCAACTTTTTCCTTAATTTCTCTCCTTCAATCATTTGGAATTCTTTATCAGCCAGACGATCCTGCAGTTCACAGATAATTCTTTTCTGCTCTTCAAAACTCGTTCTTGTTTCTAAAGCCGATAGGTCGGCCATCTAACAGAGAAAATATGTGTCAGTGTCAATTCAATTTATCAGATCATTCATGCAATGAACACTATAAGCGTGCAATAATTTTCCCAGTTATTTCCAGGGAAATTTTCAAGAAATTAAGACTGTTTCAACAATTTAGGGGTAAAAACACTAATTTTCTTACCTTCAATTTCTCTTTTTCAGCAGTCAATTGATGTTGTAATCTATTTATTTGGTCCCTCTGAAAAGAACATGTGTCCTATAAAAGAAAGCCCACTATCTTAATCCGAAGAAACATAGGAATCTCACTATATATATATATATATATATATATATATAACAAGAACCATAATAACAACACACAATGTTGAGAAAAACAAAACAAACCTCGAGATCCTTTATTTTACTTGTCAAGCTATCCAATTGTGCACATGAATTCCCCGTATATTCTTTGTAGTATGCTACTTCTCCAGTTAAAGCCTGTATTTGTCCTTGTTGCCGATCACGATCATCTCTAATTTGTTTTAATTCTTCACGGAGACAACTGAGCTCGTGTGCTAGTGAATCTTTTTGTTTCGTAGCCTCATCACGCGAAGCCTAAGAAACATAGATAACAAGAGGAGGAAAAAACAACATAAGATGAACAGGCTGTAAAGATACTTATAGTGGCTATAGGGGTTTATAATTACTTCTAGATTGTTGTCCAAATTATCTGCATTTCCTGTTTCTTCCGAACTACTTATAACAAGTTCGAATTCAAGAGAATGCATGAAGAATGGGTCAATGCCCATGAAAAATGGACAGTGTAAGTTCCAACATGTTCACAACACACATCACTTTACTTAAAACATTCTCAACATGAAAAGGAAAATTCCGAAATAAGAAAGCTTAAATGACAAAGCATTGTGCAAAGAAAACAATCAAAAGCATATATCAAATTAGAATGACTTACTTTAACAGATGCCAGCTGATCCTGCAATATTTTATTGTGACCTCTCACATCGCTAAGGTTTTGAACAATGGCTGTTTTCTCCTTTTCCAGTTCTTTAAGTGATTCATTAGCCGATTGAAGATCCGACTGGAGTCGACTATTGTAGCGCTGCAGGTCCATATTATACTCTTTTGAACAATTGTACAAAAGCTCATTCGATTTGACCTGCAAATGCCAATGTAACAGTAGAATGATCAGCTTAAAGTCTGTGTAGAAAATACCAAGAGGACGATATCTTTATATTTGTATAAGTTGATTTAAGATTCAATGTTCAACTGGTCAAATTTTCCTGTCTGGATTATAATTTAGAATTTGACAGCACCTTTTGCTCAGCCTCTAATTTCTCTTGCTTGACTTTCTCAAGCTCAGTTGAAAGAGAAACTTGCATCTTCTCTGCAGCACTTCTGGCTTCCTTTTCTTCTCTATGACGTTCCATCGATTCCTAATTTTTAAACAATAACTTATTATCAGAAAACAGGAAACTTCAAGGGCATCTCATCACAATGCTACATGGCGAGTAACTTTACCAACTTCAAGGATTCTTCCTTTGAAATTCTCTCTTCCAATGAATAAATTGTCTTCTTCAAATCTGATATTGTGTTGCTTAACTCCTCAATCTTATTTTTCATTTCAGACTCTGAGAAAGAACAGATAACATCTTTAAGCCATGCTTTCAATTGCATCGGAAACTACCTCAATTCTAGACAACTTGTTGAAGATTACTGGGTCAGAAAAATAGCTTACCAGTATCACTGCACTTCTTCTCGGCAGATTCAAGGGCAGATTGAAGCTTTTCCTTTTCTTCAATGTAAGTTTCTTCAAGTTTTTGAAACCATTTTACACACAGTCTAAGCCGCCTAATGAAATCTCCCATCTGGTCCATTTTTCTCTGCCAAACAATGGGAAAATATCGAAATACTCACAAAAGACCGAAACGTGAACAAAATTGAAATCATTAGTCTGGCAAAAGATGATCTAGATTAAGATTATATACAGTGAAAGAGACCTTATTATCGAAGGGATTTCCCTTTTTAATCTTCTCGTTTAACAATGCCTCCACATCCTCTTTGGTGAACTCAACAGTGCTACATTCTGAGCCCTCGTTATTGGCAGCATCGTTTGCTCTATTAGCTTCTGGCCCTTTGTTCACTGAGGCAAACGGCTGCCTGCCACGGCCAGTGTTTCCCTGCCGATCCATCCTTTCTGCTCCAACCCTCCGACGCTTTTCTGACGGGGCTGTATTTGAGGGGCTACGTGGTGGCCTGTTCTGGTTCCTAGAAGCCATATCTGGCTTGAGTCGTGCCCGATATGGATCTGAAGTAGTGGGAATGGGGGTTTCAATTTGGATCTGACTAGAATCGTCAAGGATTATACGGTTTGCAGTGCGTCAGAGGTAAGAGAGAAGGTAAGGAGGAGCTGTGAAGAGGATGACAGTGGAGAACGATGGCAGAGGGCGGAGGGTGAACCGGTGAAGAAGTAGCCGTGGAGAGGATTGTGGAGAAAGGCGCGTGAATTTTGAATTTGCATCCAACGCTCTTCTATGAATCATACGGGTCGACCCGTTCATGATGGATTGGGTCACTGACTCACCGGCTAAGCCCATTAAGTAAAGCCACGTTCAAATGGACGGGTTTTTTCGGCTCCCAGCTTCCGGCTCATAATGGATCCACGAAAAGTATTCACGAACGAAAAAGAATTAGTACTAATTTGAAATTTTTTCCTCATATATTTGTTGAGAAGTGAGAACTTTAATGAACAATTTTTTATTAACATGAAATGAAAAAGGCATAGTAAAATGTTCTAGTAGTATTTATCTAACTTTTATGGGCATTTGATTTCTCATGATAAAGCCATCATTGGTCCGTTTAGATTAAGGGCAGAAAAAATAACTTATTTTTAATTTCACTTTTTAAAAATGTTAGATTAGACAATAATTAGATTAGGTAATGTGATTTATATTTAAATTTGCTTTTATAAATAAGTCAATTTCCAAATGTGAAGTTGTTTGGATTATTATTGAAAAAGTAAATTTAGTTGTAAAATGACAAAAAAAATATAAATTTTATTAAATAATATATATAATTTATTCCCTCTCACCTATTATACTCTTTAGTTACATTTTCTTATAAAATTTCTTTTATCCTTTTTTTTAATTATTATAAAGGTATATTCATCTCATCCTATTTATAAGGCATTTTTAACATATTATACACAAATAAAAAAATATTAAACTGCATTAATTCTTATCTAAAGTATAATAATTTTTTAACTTTATCCTTGTTTGATATATACATTTCAAAACATAATTATTTACACTATAATAAATAGAGGACGGTGACTTATAAATAAGATCAAGAAAAACCTTTTTTTCCTGACTTATAAATTAGATCAGAGGAGTATTTAAAATCAAAAATACATTTGTAACTTTTTTATTACTTTCAATTAATTTTAACTAATTTTTTATTATTCACAAATTAATTATCTGAAACTTATGATAAGAACTAAAGAGAATAATAAATTTTTTAAAAGTGAAGCCCAGTTACAATCTCTGCTGCTAACACAACAATTAAGGGGGTGTTGGATAAACCTAAATCATGATTTGGAGAATAGCTTCTGGATAATAGATTCTGGGAAGAATAGATTTTCTGAAAAAGTGATTCTGATAAAGTGAAAGTGTTTGGATAGTTGTTGTCAGAAGTGCTTTTTTATATGTAAAAATTACTAAAAAGGACATAAGTTTAAATAATAATTACATATAAGATATATTTCATAATATATGTTAATTTGAAATAATAAATTTGTTAATAATATATATTTTGACAACACAATAAATAAGACATAAATAATATAAATAATTAATACTTAATGTGTGTGTATATATTTATAAAATAATTAAATATGTTTATAGAAAAATTATTTATTTTGCCAATAAAAAATATTATGATTTCTTAAAAATTTTAAACATGAAATCCCAAAATTTTTTTAACCATTGGGAGCCACTGAGGAGTAATTATTACTCCAACAACATTTTTTATTGCTCAGAAGCTAGTGTCAGGTAGCTTATTTCAAAACCATGGTTCCCATGGCCAAAACCTTGGTTTCAAAAAAAAAGTGGGTGTTTGGCTGATTTTTTCTCAAACCATGATTTGGGGAGATAGCCAAACACCACCTAAATTTCATGAATCGCACAGTTTGTCATTTGCATCACGTAGTTACCTACCAAAACGTCCTGACAAACAGGCGCATGGTAATTTTTATCATTGTTGTGATTATTTTAGTCAAAATTATTTTTTATGTTGTTTATTGTTAACAATATGAATTAAGTTAATTTTTTTAAATATTTTATGATAAAACTTATATGTATTTAGTTATATTCATTAGGTTTAATCTTCCAATCAAATATAGCACAATATTATATTTTAATCATTGACGATGCTGATGGTCCAACAAAATTTTAAAATTTTACCCATGTGAATTTTTATTACAAAAATCCATATACTAATTAAGAAATTGAACCTAATAAATGAAAATAAATCCAGCTAACTTGTCCTTTCTTTTGGTTAGGTAGATGTATCTTCCTATAAGTGACATTAATACCATCAAAGAAATATCATTGTTTTCTGCCTTTATTTTCCAGAAAGCCTCTCTCTTCCCATAAAAAATAATTCATATAAAGCATCAATTCTGATTTTGATTCAAACTTATTGGGATTATATGTTTAAATTATTATTAATTTCAAATTTTAATCTTATAATTTATATAGTGAAACAAAATAATTTCACATTAAGGGCAACATTGTCCTGTTGTTTATCCTCTCAAGATGATATTAAGCTAAAAAAATCAGATGTTTATTATATTGCTCTTATAAGAACAAAATTGAACTTTGACTCCTAAATGTATGACTAAAAAATTTACTGCCAAAAAACATATATGGACTTATGGGAGTAATAAACTAATAATCCAGCAGTGAAAACAATATAAAAAAAAAAAAAAAAAGGAACCCAGGAGGGACGCGTGGGTTTATAACCAGATAAATCAGTCGCCATTGGAAGGAGAATCAACAGAGTTATGACCTCCTCAAAATTTTAACAATGAGTCCAAAAAGCCTCAAATAACGGTTTTTTCAATGCATAGTACTCTTCCGGTTCTAAATATAAGATATTTTTTATAGTATAAATATTTTTTATAGTATAAATATTTTTTATAGTGTAATTTACATTATAAAAAAGGTATTATATTTAAGACCAGAGGAATCATACTAATACTAAATATAGAAGCTAAGTGAGAAATTTTCTTTAGACTTAATTAAACATAAAATCCTAATTTATTTTATTTTCTAATAATTTATTTTTTTACAGTATTTCTATTGATTGCACATAATAATAGTTTTTATCAAGGAGAAATATAATATAATACTTTTGGTCCTTAATATAAGATTTAGATAACTAATTTATAGATATTAAAACATTTAATTAAATTATTTATTTATAATAAATAAATGTTATCTTCCCTAAAATATAATTATCAATGCATTAGAATTAATCTTTCATGAAAACTCTTTAATATATGTGATCAGTATAGGAATTGCTTAGGACAAAATAGATAAGTATTAGAGGTGGAATAGATTGAGATTGTATACTTATAACCAAATTAAATCTTTAATTAGTTCTTATATAAAAAATCAGCCATTATTAGAATTTTTTTTTTAAAAAATCTAACACATGTTTGTTGCATAAATAAACCAACCTAACTTTTATATTACCATATGTTTGGATGGGGAAGAACTAGGGAGAAACGAATACTAGAAGGAAAAATTCTCAAAAATGGTAAAAATTTTAACTATTACCTCTGGTTCTAATTATAAGAACTAGTTGACTAATTTAAGAAAATTAAGGAAAGAAGTTAAATTAGTTATTTGTAATAAATATGTGTTGTCTTTCCTAAAATATCCTTATTAATCAAGTATATTGGCTATAACTACTATTATTAGAAGGACTACTTTAGAAAAAAAATATAAATATGGGAAACAAAATGGATTAAGATTTTATATTTAGAACCAAAATAAAAGTCAAATAAGGTTCTATATTAAGGATTGGAAATAATATTTTGGAAGCTTTCCCTTCTCTTATTTTTGCTCCCATTTTCCCCTCCATCCAAACGTAGCGTTGAGGAGGGGAGAAAGAAAATCATTTAGCAAGAGAAATATAAAACGTTATCTCTTACTGTGTTAGGCGCAGGCGCTCACTTTGACTAAGCCACTCTTAATCACACGACAAGAACCCTTTTTCCCCGTTTAGGTTGAAGTACAATAATAAGTTACACATACACATGTATGTGTATGTGAGGATGTCACTATGCTTGGTCATGCTTAGGTGGCGACCACAATCTGAACAGTAATATTGTACCACATGTGCGTATGTTTAGTATAGGAGAAATTACAATGAGATCCCAAATAAAAAAAATAATTAAAAAACAAATTTCAGAGATTGTCATTCTCACTATAGGACTTGTCATTATAGGCTGTTGAGATTGTTATTGGGACTTTTTAGTAATTATTTCTTTTATGTGAGACTTGATTGTAATTTCCTTTTAATATATCATTTTGCCTTTTTATCCCCAAAAAAAGAAAAAAAGAGCAAGCCAATTTTGTTACGATTCTTAAAAATGTTTTTATTCGCTGTCTCACCTTAAAACCCACGTGTTTCACAAGGGAACATATGTATGTACATGTAATAATCAACATCGACATGTTCGTGAAAATTTAATTTGTTTATATTATTATTGATCGGTTTGGTTCATGTTTCTATCACCTTTATTGTATATGTATGCGCACCTCAATTTCCCTCCAGACAAAGCAAAATAATGTACCATTTCACTCAACTTTTAACCAATTTTTATAATTTTTGGTTGTCTTCCATCAGGCCTACCCCTTCGCCCTCCTCTCTCTCCTTTTTCTCCTTCTAATTTATGAGAATAATTAAGTAAGCTAATTTTTTTTGGTAAATATGTAAACATTATATCATATGATTTGTAAGTTAAATAAATTATTTTGGTAAAAAAATAATAAATATAAAAAACAAAATAGATTTAGGTCTTATATTTAAAATCATATCCATTATTCTAACTAATTTTTATATTAAGAATCGTATAGTAACAATAATGATAAACTAATTTTAATATTTAACCGTATCTCTGACATTTTTTCCCCTCTTTATTAATTCAAACACACATATGACAGGCTAATACTTAGAAATAATACTCCTCCGATCCTTAATATAAGATCTATTTAATTAATTGATTAGATTAAGAAATTAGGTAAGTTAATTAATTATAAGAAACATGACATGTTTTTTCTAAAACACCATAATCATATTTCTTAATTAATATCCTCCTTTCCTCTTTTACTTAAT